ATTAATAACAAACAAACAATCAATAGTTTGTTAATGTACCTGTTTCTGTGCGTCAGATGAGACTTTGCATACATATCGCATTACAGCAATTTCCTCTGGCGTTTTGATAACGCGCCTGCAAAAATGTTAATACGATTGTACAGCTATAAAATACTATAAATCTCAAATATTAAGTGTAAGCTATGGCTTTATATGTCATTCGGTTAAGGTTATAAGCTGTTGAACAATGTAACATCTTTTTTATAGTTTCTTGATTACCTACAGTAGGCGCCCGAGTTCATGTCAAGTAATTTTGCAAATTATGGAATAAAATAAATATGATAAGCAATTACTTATTTATTTCTAATAGAGAAAAATATTTTTTTTTCTTATTCAATTATCAGATGAAAAGGCTACCGACAGATCAGAGTGGGAATCAGTAGGTATATTTTTTCAGTAGGTTTTTTTCTACCTGAACTTATTGGAAGCGGAGTAGTCATGGTTTATTCACAATGAAATAACACAATAGCGTTAGCGTAAGTTTTCGATATCGATAAACGCACGTCACAACCGTCAAGGACAACACTCGACGTCAGACAAATGCGTGGAGGCGGGCGAAGGCGGGGCGAGCTGTCCACCGCGCGTCGCCTCTGGCCCTGATGGACATGAACACGCGCGCATACTGTACTTATTTTGAGGCCATTTATTTAGTCTGCCCTCGGGATGTAAACACCGACATAGCTACGTCGCTTGATACGAGCACACTGAGCTTCTATTCTTTAGGCCAGGTCTTCAAAATTTTATATGTCTATTATATTTATTTCTTGTGTGAAAAGTAAATTTTCTCCTAAAGGAGAAGTTCTATTACATACAAACGCATACAAGAATTAAATATAATTAAATAGCTTTAACAAACAATTTAATTCGCGATTTTTTCATATCGCTCATTTCGCTTAAAAAGTAATATTGCACAAAGTGTTTTATTTCAAAACCACATCATTGTGTTGGTATTTAAAAATAACTCTAAAGTGACTTATATTGATAAAAACCACATTTTTGTTGCTTGTCTGCTGCTATTGGTTCATAATTAGGCTATAACCTATTCACAATTCAAGTCTTTCCTGTGATAGAGATTTAGAGGAGTAACAACGTCATAGCAAACAAATGAACATCTACATGATTAAAAATGATAATGTCAGAACAAATAACATCATTACAATTTGTATCTGCATCTATCTTTGACAATGACCATGATTAAGTTAAGTAGATAATCTTTGATAAATTCTTATCAATGTTAATACCATGATAAATATATATAAAAAAAATATTGCCCTTGTAGGCAGTCGAGCATACGGTCCAACCTGATGGTAAGTGGTTACCATCGCCCATGGACGTCAGTAATGTCAAGAGCCAAGCTGCTGCAAGCAACAAAACAAATTGTTGTGCAAATAATCATCAAATTATTGTAAAGAAATTACTGGGTAAATTATCATTACTAGATGTGCAATTTGGACATAGCAGTAATTTGATTGTGTTAAAATGTCGAAATAAAGACATTGCTAAAGAGTGTGTATATGTTCCACTTCCGTCAGCCCTAACCATAATTAAAACTACTTTTACAGCTTAATCTCGCGGTTATTGCGCGACTGATGGCGTCCATAGTATGATAAAAGTATTTGAAACGTCAGAAATATGATAATGACAATTAAAAAAAACTCGAAATTAAAACTTAAAACTATTATAATTTTATATTTATCAACTTACAATTCTGCGATAATGGGAAATAAGGATTCATTATCCACATTGAACCTGAAAAAAAAGCAGATGAGCAATTGAGAAAGTAGAGAATAGGTTTGATCCTATCCCTTTTGGGAATAATAATGGTTGTTAACTTCTATCTCAAACCTATTATTGTCCTTAGTTAAAACTTGATTACTTACTCATCAATTCCATTAAAAATGGCTTCTCGGGCTGTCAAGCCACTGTCCGTGTTTGGGCCAGACTGTAAAACAAAATACATACATTCTAAGAAACAAGTTAATTATTAAAGTTGATAGAAATAAGAAACTTGAATAACTTTCAATGTGATGTTGGTTTGGTTCTTTTCAACAAAAACCTTAACCTATTTATTAAATGTTTATTTCACACCCCACAAATAATAAATCATGTACACAATAAGAATAGATAGGTACTCTTGTACACACTTGAAGTGAAGATAATTGTTGTACATTGGTTTGGCTGACCTCATTGCAATTAACAATATTATATTAGACTGTCCCCATTGAGACGACTAAACATTTTAAAAGTACACACATATTGAAGATATGATGCTGTGCAGGTTGGTTTACATGTGTTTCAAGTATGATTAGCAGAAGATGCAGAATCAAGAGAATTACAGGTTAATGTTTGATTAGTTGAGTTGAACCTACCTGTGACTCATAAAGTTTCATTAAAATTCAGAATTAGGTTATTCCCTATTATTTTTATGAATATTTTGACAGCAACTTACCAATGTCAGCAATGTTTCTGGCATCAAACTTTTGAGTACATCTTTTATCTGTAATGTTAATTCTTCCTTTAATTTGTATTACAGTTTAGATGGAATTATTTTTATTTAATTGTAAGGTATTTAATGGTTTATTATAATTTGTTTAACGAAAGTCATATCATCATAAAATGTATCTATGAAATGTATAATCATAAATTACTTATTGTTTTAGAGCATATAGAATACAGCATGCTGATTTCAGATATGAAATATTTTTTCTCACCTCATCAACATAATAGACTTCATCAACTGCATATATGTTTTTGAAGTCACTACAGGCATGCAGTTTGCCCATCCAGACTTCATACTCCTCAGGAAGTCTGGGCACAAAGAGGTAAGACTTGCCTGTACTAACATCTAGGGCAAAATAACAACCGGGTTCTCTAACTCCACAAACCCATGTAAAATAGGCTTCCTGAAAAAAGTTGATATTCTTTTAAAGAAGCAAACTAGCTGATAATATACGTTGCTTCGGAGCTGGGTCAGCCCAGGCTAGATAATTTTGATAGTAGATATAGCTTATTATTCTATGTTGATAATTCATTTCCGTTTTTAAGTGTACAATTTGTTAATTACAATTCCCAGATTGTAGTAATATAATTTATTATTATGCTTGCTTACCTGTCTAAATACATATTGTACATCAGTATCATAGTGGTTCACATCTTCACCTCCTTGCAAAACCACTATTTGTCCACTTTTGAGTTTATTTGCTAATCTTTCTCGGTTTGTTGCGAACAAAGATAGCGGCACTTCAAGAGTGCCAGGGCCCATAGACCACGTCGCTGCCATGTTCGATGATATAATGAAAGGCAATTTTATCTTTGAATGGTTTGAAAAAATATCAATACGTGATAAAACTGTGGTGGGGATATAAGACCGATTACATGAGTTTTGATATGGCCTAAAATATCTTACACTAAATAAGCACCTTCTCCTTATCACGTTTCTAATCTTAAGCATTAAGGTGGAGGTAATTAAATGATCAATAAGTAACTTAATATTTACATATTTATCATGTTTTTAACAATTGTTTTGTTATTGTTGTCAATGTTGTCAAATGTCATGATCAAGTTTTATTCGTCTAACAGGCAAAGCGAAGGTATCACACCATGCAGCCTAAGCTATTATTTATACAGTTTTATAATTAAAATATTTAGCAAAATGGAATGAAGTTGAGTTTATTTGAGACTAAGTGGGATGAAATTAAATAAAACGAGATGAGCTCGGATGACATAAAGTGTCAGTAAACTGGTGGTTATTTTACCTACTGAGAGTGCCGTGAACTTTTTGAAAAAGTCGTCGTGGCCTAAAGGATAAGATCCGGTCCGGTGTATTGGTACCGAGCGATGCAACAGTGTTCGAATCCCGCCGACGCCATGACGAGTACCAATTTTTCTAATGAAATACGTACTTAACAAATGTTCACGATTGATTTCCACGGTGAAGGAATAACATTGGGTAATAAAAATCAAACCCGCAAATTATAATTGCGTAATTACTGGTGGTAGGATCTCTTGTAAGTCCGCACAAGTAGGTACCACCCCCTCGCCTATTTCTGCCGTGAAGCAATAATGCGTTTCGGTTTGAAGGGTGGGGCTGCCGTTACTATACTGAGACCTTAGAACCTATATCTCAAGGTGTGTGACGCATTTACGTTGTAGACGTCTATGGGCTCCAGTAACCACTTGACACTAGGTGGGCTGTGAACCCGTCCAACCATCTAAGAAATAAAAAAAAATAGCACCTTTTTTACGTGGCTACGTTCCGATTTGCACTGCGAGCACTGTTCAGTGTTCTTACAGGGAAGAAATTCGTTCCGTTAAGGACTGACAGTAGGTATACAGTCAAAATATCCAAAGGAAATATATAAGGTCATAAGTCGTTGCCATTTTCCTACTGTGAACACTGGTGTTTTCATTTCATTTCGAGATTTCGGCTTTTTATTATTATTGCCCGTGCAATTATGTTATGATATATTAAATTGCCTGAAAATCAATAATATCTTTTACCAAAAAGAATCATTAGTTTTATGATGCGATTAATCCAACTCAGAATAACTTGGATAACTATTTTTTAAATATAATTAAATTTAAAAAACAATTTCACGTTGAAGTGAAAATAACGCAAAACAAAACGGCTGCCTCTAGAAGACAGTATACTGTACTGTTTTACTGTACGTCCCCTTTTAAACAGTAACCAGTATAGCAGATACCAACTTACAGTTGCAACCATAGATTATACACTTAATATATTGCAACTAACATTGCAAATTGGAACATGGCCTTATTATTAGGTGAATGAAGTTAGCCCCTCAAAAAATTTTTTTTTCCTATTTTATACTTATTTTCTATTAATTCGTTTGTTCATCATTTGTTCATGATTGTTCACTGTTAATAATTGTTTGTTCTGCATTTATTTATTTAAAAAAAATATTTAAAAATATACCTACAAGTTAGCCCCTCTAATGCAATTTTTAATATTTTTTCATCCTTAATGACTCGTAAATGTTCATTTTCGATTGTTCTTATATGAAACACGTTTGTTCTCTTTCGAAATTACTCGTTTTTTGTTTAATTTACTATTTTTATTAGTTGAATAAATGTATGCAAAATATATGTACTGCGCATGCGTCAACTATAATGCCTAAACTTTCTACGCGGTTTTAATCGTGAAAAAAAAAACAAATATAAATCCTGAAGGAGCAATTAATTGGTATACAGTTTAATTAAAAAAATTAAAAAATAAATAAATGAAATAATGTGCATTGGCGTTAAGTTAGACCAAATACATTTTTTCCATCCTCCTACTTATCGTTATGAAGGTATAAAAAAGATAGGGAGTTCACATAGGTAATATAAACAAATAAGTAAATATGTTCATTATTTATCTTTCAAGAGATAACATAGGTATACATTATAATAACTTTTTTACACAGTCGAAATTATATTCCTAACATTAGTAAAATAACATTTTAATATAACATATATACGATAGGTAAGAGGATGGAAAAAATGTATTTGGTCTAACTTAACGCCAATGCACATTATTTCATTTATTTATTTTTTAATTTTTTTAATTAAACTGTATACCAATTAATTGCTCCTTCAGGATTTATATTTGTTTTTTTTTTCACGATTAAAACCGCGTAGAAAGTTTAGGCATTATAGTTGACGCATGCGCAGTACACATATTTTGCATACATTTATTCAACTAATAAAAATAGTAAATTAAACAAAAAACGAGTAATTTCGAAAGAGAACAAACGTGTTTCATATAAGAACAATCGAAAATGAATATTTACGAGTCATTAAGGATGAAAAAATATTAAAAATTGCATTAGAGGGGCTAACTTGTAGGTATATTTTTAAATATTTTTTTTAAATAAATAACCGCAGAACAAACAATTATTAACAGTGAACAATCATGAACAAATGATGAACAAACGAATTAATAGAAAATAAGTATAAAATAGGAAAAAAAAATTTTTTGAGGGGCTAACTTCATTCACCTCTTATTATTCTTTTGTGAATTGCTTATGGTTTAATTTTGTTGTTTGTTGGTTAGGCACAGGGACAAAAGCCCATACTTCAAAATCTTTGGCAACAAAAGGTTGAAGTTGAAACCATGTATGTTGTACGAAAATGAAATGGAGCGTACTGAAATATAATTTGATAAGGTTTAATAATAATTAAACTAAAATGAGATGTTACGGTACTTAATCTAAGCCACAAAAAACCAAATGTTCGATGAGGTTAAATGAAGTAGCTTCGAGAAGTTACATCGATCACTTTTTTTTTTATTTCCTCACGCTACATATTTTTCACAAATATTAAACAATATGTACTTACCTACTTTTACCGGTTTTTACCCGAAAGGGGTCCATGATACATTGAATAATTAGGTAAAATAAATAATAATTAATCACCAAAAATTAATAATTAAACATTAAAAAATTCATCTAAGTGTAATAAATGTAATTGAATTATAGGTTAATAAATTATTGATTGTTATCGTTTAATGTGTACTATGCATGGAATTAAATAAAGCTTTATTATTATTATTATTATTTAGTTACCTACTTATTACAGGTATAAAATTGAATAAATACTGAATCAACAAAAAAAAAGCAATACACACATGTTTGTTCAGGTCGCGCTCCCGCTAAAAAGTACAGATTTTTTCGGAAATCAAGTGTTATTACTAGGATTTTATTACACTAGAGAGACCGTATTTTTTTGGCGTGATCAATATTACCAGTACTTAAAATATTTAAGCTAACTTCGCCGTTTTTTATTTCCATTGTAAAAAGGCAAGCATGTACCTAGCTCAGTGGTTACCGTCGGTCATGACGGCGGAATCCATGTAGATCGGTAATTAGGATTTTAAAGATGGCTATTTATGACCACAGATTTGTAATCCACTATACATTACTATACATTACAATGCTGCAGTGGCGGTTAGCTGTTCTGTGAAACAGCTAAATTAATTAAAAATAAAAGTATGTACTCCACAAAGAGAAAATACGAAAACGTATCGCAGCTTTTGCTTTTTTACATTTATGTAGGTACTATATTTCCGGTCGCACTTATTTGGAATAGCCACTTAGGCTATCAATGAACAGTTAAAAAGTCCTTTAAGTATTTCTAAATTTACCTACTAAAAATACAATACAATGCAATGAAAAATTGAAGAGAAATTTATTTGAATTAAGTAGGTATGTATATTGTGTTGCATGTGTTGTTTTGTAATTATGTATATAAAATTTTAATGGGTAACAATTGTTTGAAAGTGCACTATTAACATAGTATAAAACTAGCTAAACTGTACCACCACTATTTCACAAATTGGGATGTTTTTTTTTCTAGTCAAGTCAATATAGTCAGCAGTTAAGAGAAATAATAAGGGCTTATGTAAAGCCATTTAAAAGGTAATTGGGCAGCCGTTACCTTGGATTAGTTACACATTCTAAAATATATTACAGTTAGAAATAGGGAAATGAAAAACAGATTTTCATATCATTTAACTTTAATCAAAGAAAAATAGCTCTAACAGGACAGGACACTATTTTTCTTGAAACGTTTGTACAAGCTTAAGGCTAATAATGAGAATGTTTCCAAAAGAACAATTTCTTAGAAATTCATTCAAATTTTTATTTAATCCTTTATTTTATGCTAAATCTTATCTAAATCACAAGATCGACGATAAATTAAACTACCTACCTAAAATCACAAAATGCACTAAAACATGCACATATGCAATTATATTTTTATACCTTATTGGATTGGTACAATTTTCTATTAATATTAATAATAATAATTATGATGTTAAAAGTATTAGAAACGTAGGAATTCTATAAATTACTATAAACTAAAAATTTGTCTAGGTTACATTTATATTTTGCAATATCAAAAAGTATGTAACTAGTTTCGGAAATCGCATTGTACACGTAATTCAATTTTCCCTAACAACTACATGCGAGGAAGTAACAGTAACTAACTGTAGTTGATACTAGTGTTTGTAAATTACATGTACTGTTATCTCTACAATCACTTTTGAAAGTTCTTCAATGAATCATAAACTGAGTCAGATTTGACAAGAGTAATACGAAATCGTGTAGTGGCTACCTATGTTTTTTTAAATTTGCAAGAATAAACCAATTAATCTACATAATGTTAATTAAAATTCCTGTTTTATAAAACAAATTGAAGGTCAACTACTATTAGGTGTTAAATTAATGTATAGTTAATTTAATGGTTCTAAACGTTACAGTAAACTGATGAAACACACAACACAATTTTAAATGTTATTGGAATTTGACCTTCAAGAGCATTTTAAAATTAATTAAAACGTAAATAAACAATAGTTAAAGCTCTGGATTTATCAATATAGTTGAGTTTTATTTAGTAACTACCTATGAGGAATTAATATCTAACGCGTTAATCTAGTGCAATCAGTAAAACAAAAGTATTCCACGTAGTGTAATTTAACATTAAAGGCTAGTTACGTCATTCAGTACTTTGATCATGATCAGTTAAGGTCACTATAAACGA